AAGCGAAACCGCCGTCGCGTAGCGCCGGGCCAAAAAGCTTGTCTAATATAGAACGAGACTACGCTGACTAATGAATCGTGATTACTTAATATTAGGTAAGCTGATGCACCTACCTTATACGGAACAGACCATCAACGCGAGGGTCGATGCCCAACACCGGTTCAACGTGATGTTTGACCTTGAGCCATAATCAAGAAAATAGATATATGATAGGTATACCTACAGCTATGTCACAAGTAAAGGTTACAAGACTTAAATTTGACAAATCGCGCTTCAACCCAAATTGTTGTTCACCATTGCAAAAAAGCATGCACACGAACTTCTAAAAGCCGCCGTAGAAATGTCAGGACACAGTCCAGAGGGATAATGAGCATTTAAATCTTCCAAGAGGATGTGGGGAGTTGTTGGGCGCCTATCTGAACCTGTGTCTATTATTATTAGGTTGAGCAAATTGTCACACTGTCCACCTACAAGAAGCTTAATTAATTCAGCGGGGATAAATTTGGTAATCATGGCATTGGCCATCCATTTCTCAGAATCACAGGCCGGTTTTATGCAATAGGAACAGCTGCTGCTTCTGCAAATATGTTACACAGTCTTAGGCCACTATCACTTTGAAAACAAATATTACAGTATTGCTCTGATGAGTGGCTTTGGAGCTCAGAGGTCTATTAAATTCTACTTTAGCTCTCAAATTTTAACCAAGATAAATGTTTGCCAATTTTTTACTCAAAATAACATGATCTCTTAGAAGTCAGAACCTGAGAAAGTTAAGATGGGCAGCTGGAGCGGAGCTGCTGCCATTGAAAACTTCACTATAAAATTTATTTTCTTCAAAAGTATGTACTGGATAGTAAAGTTTCTCTCTTGCAAAGCCATGCCCTCTGCCCGTCGCTAAGCGGACAATTTGGGCTTCAGCCCCAAGTGCAAAATGTGGTTCCCCAGCACAAGTAAACATCTACAAGAAATTATAACAACTGCCGCTGAAATATCAAGACACAGTCCAGAGAGAGTACAAGTTTTTAAAATACTTCCAAGGGGATGTGGTGATTTGTTGGGCGCTTATCTGAATCTATGTCTATTATTATTAGCGGATTGACCAAATTGTTGCGCCGTACACCTATAAGAAGCTTAGATGGATTCAGCGGGCAAAAATCCAATAACCATGGCATTGGCTATCCATTTCTCAAGACTACAGATCGATTTTGTACGATAGGAACTGCTGCTACTGTTGCAAATATGTTACATGGTCTTGGGACTATCACTTTGAAAACAGATAATACAGTACTGCTCTGATCAGTAGTTTTGAACCCCAGATCTCTATTAATTCCTACTTCTAAATAATTTAGCTGAGATAAATATCTGCCGATGTTTTACTCAAAATAACACAAAATCTTAGAAGTCAGAACCTGAGGATGTTGAGATGGGCAGCTGCGAAGCGGAGCGGAGCTGCTGCCGCTAATAAATTCACTTAAAAATTTGATTTTCTACAAAAATATGTACTGTAGTATTTTTTTCTGTGGCGAAGCCACGCCTCCGCCCGTCGCGAAGCGACGGGTCAAGCGACAGCTTGTGGTTTGTGATGCGCTTTTGATTAGTCATTAATGTTAGTTATTTGGCTTCGACCTCCGGCAAGCGGAGATTCAATTTTACTTCAGTGTTCATCGTCAGCACCGTCGTCTCCGCTCCTTTAAACGCCCAAAATCAATGCCGTTCGGACTCACCATTGGCACAGAACGAGCAACCGCTCTTCAGGTATACACCTGGTTTTTAACATAATACACCTTTTTTTTACTGACTCTTGGAATAGCAATCCATTCAGGATGAGCTCACGAAGCAAGGTTACAGCCCGGACGCTGGTGCGTTTTTCTGTTCAGTTGTGTATCCAAGCATTCAAAATACTGACATATATGCAGACCCAGTCATGGCAGAATATATTACTATCATGATAATTAACAATAAAACACCTGGTGAGCTACTCTCGCTGTCTACCCAAGGTGGCCGTCATGCTCACTTCGCTGCAATAGCTCAGATAACTGGCGAACTAGAGGATTGTAAGATAAATTTAAATACTGGTTTAAACAAGATACTGACTTTTACATATCTTTCAGTGATTGGAGCCGACTTCAGTAAGCTTTTGGGCTTACTACCTGCTCATGTACGACCAGCGCTAACATATGTCTCCAGATCCGTCTTTTACAGACTGGTTATTCGTAGAAGCAGCCAAGGGAGTCGCTGAACCTGAAATCCCTGCTGAAGTAGTACCAGAGGTTGTAGAACCACCTGCAGAACCTGAAGCTGGTCCATCAACGTCGGATTCTTCTCAGCAGCCCAATAATGAGTCATCCGGACGCCCTGGACGAAATGGCGTGTATCAGCATGCCTTGTCGCAAGCACTTCCTGGAAATCCATCTGCTCAGAAACGACCTGCTCCAGGGCGTTCGCCTTCCCCTTCTCATCCTCATAAAGTTAGAAGAACAGACCTGCCGACAGGACCACGCGCGATGCACCGTGAAGGACCCAACTCTGGTGGCCTTTCTCGTAGCTTGCTTGATCGTATGGGTGGGCCTGGCGGGCGTAACGGTCCAAAAAATCACCAGCGCGACGATATTCAAGCTAGAATTGATACCATTGTCAGCAACGCGCCACCTGACCCGTCTATGATGATGCCTCCTCCAGGTTATCCAGGAATGATGGACATGAACCCCATGGCGAACCCTCTAATGCTGCAGGAGATGATGATGAACCAGATGGCTATGATGGCGCAGATGGCTTCTTCGATGGGTATCATAAACCCTTCGACTGGTCAGTTTGGTGGACAGCAGGGATTCCCGCCTCAGCAAGGTGGCATGCCTGGTGATATGGGGATGTTCCCGCCAAATATGAACGGTGGTGGCTTTCCACCTCAACAGGTTGGGAACGGTGGAAACAACAACGCGAGTCGTGGTCGAGGAGGCGGAAGGGGAGGAAGAGGGTCCGGCAGAGGCAGGGGAGCTTCGAACGCTGGAGGTCATAATGCTCCGCCTACCGAAGCGACTCAACCAGCACCTCCTACCATCGTAGCTCCTTCGCCCATTGTTCCTACTTCTGTTACGCCCCAAGGTACCTTCGCCGTTCCCGAAAGGCCACAATCTCCTACCCTTTGCAAATTTGGGCTGAAATGCACGAACGCACGTTGCCGATATTCACATCCTTCTCCTGTGGCCACTCCTGAGAGTGGGGTGGTCCTCAGCAACGATCCTTGCGAAAACGGGAAAAATTGCAAGGACAAAGACTGCATCAAGGCTCACGTCAGCCCGGCCGTCTTGAATCCTAATGGTGTGTCTTTACATTTCTCTTATCAGCCTTGGCATTGCTAACTATGTTTTGTGTGATAAGCTGAACACTCGGTCCCAAAATCTACGATTCCACCACCGCAAGCTCAACATCCCGCTCCGGTTGCTTGTCGTTTTGGTGCCTCATGCACACGTCCAAATTGCACATTCAACCACCCTCCTCGCGCGACTCAAAGTTCTGTGGCGTGTCGTTTCGGCTCGGCATGCACGCGTGCCAATTGTACCTTCCAACACCCTGAAGGTCGCGTCCTACCAACCACTTTCCACCGTGGCC